GAAGGCTGAGGCGGAAGGATCGCCAGAGCCCAGCAGGCGAGGCTGTGGTGGCCGGGAGCGACCACTGCACTCCAGTCCGGGTGACAGAGTGAGACTCCAACTAAAAAAAAAAAAAAAAAATTTGCTGACAAGAAGAGCATGAAATATCAGTTCCTCTTCCATGTACTTCATAATATGATTTGTACAATTTTTTAAACATGAATTTCTTCATTATTTACATTGCCTGACATGGTGCTGAATGATTTATTTGAATAAAATACTACACACACACACACACACACACAGACACATACGCACATACACACATACATCTCAATAACCTTTGCATGGATTAGAGTAGTTATGAGAATGCTGAATGCTATGATAAGTTAACTCTTCTACTTGAGTCCACTTTCTGCATTTTACATCGGAGCCTTTGATAGATTTCATTTGTGATGGTGTGGTAGAAAGAGTATATTGGATATTGAGTCAGGGCATTTTGCTCCTAAATTCTACTACCTAATAGTAATATATCCTCTGGAAGAACATACAACCTCTCAAACCTCAGTCTGTATTTTGGAGATTCTTATTATATTCCTGAGGTCTCACAAAATTCACAAGTTATATATAATGCTACATACACTCATAAATAATAAGAGAAAGATAATCCTGTCTGACAAAGAGACAGTTAACAGGTCTGGCCTACTTTTCAGTAGTTCTTTGAGCTCACTTATCTGCCAATATCAGGAAGATTATTTTATTGTACTTTTTATCAACTACTCCCTATTTTTCTCTTCTCCCAATTTCTCATATTATGTGGCATGGCGTGTCTGTAGCAGATATTGAAGGGAGTGATCATTTACAATGCCTTCTAAACTGTTTCTTGTGGGGAGTTCTCACAGATAATAAATCAGAGGCCTCCTCCCTTGATTGGCTGCCACACAGCTTTCATTTATACATGTACAATCACTGTCCTCCCATCAAATGGAATATTTTGCCCCTGGGAATTTTCATTTGAAATTTATTTTTCAGAGATTTATCACCTTAAATATAGTCATAACTTGAGTTGATTTGAATCAATTTAGTTCAGATTTTGTTTCTTTTCAGAGTTCAAATAGTGAGATTCCAAATGCCTATATAAACTTTCCTCGTACTAATGGATATATGGTGGACTCTTTCAGGAGACATTCCCTTACACCTTAATATAAGGGAAGCTTCAGACACAGGCCAGCCGATTGTATTTTCACAGCCTGAAAGTGATGAGGTAAGTTACATTTTCAGCATGCATTTTTATTTCTTTTTTAGGATATTTGTTTTTTGATATACAGAGAGAAAGTTGAGAAGGTTAAGCTTATCTATCTGTCGTACATATATATAAGCAAGGATTAGTTAACTTGTCCAAAGCATCCTTAAGTTACTATTATATAAGGTAAGCTGCCAGTGCTGAAGAAGTTCACCTAGAGAAAAATCATCTTCCAACAATTTTGCTCATGATGACCATGAACGATGAGAGTTTGTAAAATTATTATCTTGCTAATTAGCAATATCTAACTGCCCAAGGTTATTATATTTCAGTATTAGAAGTTCAGCTGATTGCTGGGAGAAGAGAACTTAATATAAGAAAGTATTGAGTTGGATATGCAGTAATTTTGTAAACTACTAGAGATGGGATTTTCATTGCATTTATTTTCATAAATATGATTGGGGAGGTGGAGTGAAAAGATGAGTGTTTCATTAGCCAACACCATTGGGGATACAGTTGATAGAGTTTCAAAGTTGCTGAAACATAAAATCTTCAGGCATAAAATCTTTTATTTTAATCTTTTAAAAATAGAAATGAAATCAATCATTCATATTTCTTCTTCCCTAAATAGCACTTGCTATTAACTTAGAAACTGAATCATCATCTGGTACAGCAGTTTTGATGTAATTTTTGTGTTCCTTTGCTGAACAGCCCTAATCAATCTCCTAATAGTTTTTCTTTTGTTCCCCCTCAACTGATGGGTATAACTTTATAGTACTATTATTTGTCCATACATAACTCTACTCCTTATATTCTAGTTTGCTTCCTCTAATCTTCTGTAAACTGGAAAATGCAAGAGCCACGCTTGGTTAGAGCTGTAAAGTAAGAGTAAGTTCACAGTCAGAAATCTTGGATAAGCAGATTCCTTTTGAGACATCTCTTTCAGAGGTCCTTTCCCTTTCTTAAGGGGTCAGCAGTTCTGGTATAGGTGATTGAGTTGCTGGCAGGACAATCTGAGTAAATACAGTATAGCAGTTGTCATTATTTTTAGTTTTTTGCCTTTTAGGTATTACATCTTAAATTTTCCTTTCAGTCTTTCTTAGAAATCTTTCAGATAAACAGAAACCATAATTCTTTATCACTTTCATAACTAAAGTCTGCCAATCCCAACTACTGTAGGTGTGCTTTACTCTATGTAGTAAACGAAAAGGTTGTATGAAAATTGAGGAATTTTAAAAATTGCACACTTTTAAGTGCTTCCTGAGAACAGGCTATTTAAAGACATTCCATAGTGATTTTGAATGAATATGAATAATTACTTACCAACTGATTTCAGTTATGGGTTTAAATTTTTAATATTTTTTCACTTGTTCATTATTGTTTTCTCTTTGACATTCTCCAAAAATAAGAAACATTTCAAAGAAGTTAGAGGAATGTAATATAACAGAGAACATATAGCAACCATCCAAAGATAATATGCTTTGAAACTCTGAACAACAGTGGCTATAGAGTTTTTTGGAGTTACTTGTTTTTATAATCTGGTCTACCTTCATGTAACTATATGACCAATTATTTTACTGTTGCTGGGTGACATTTATGAGAGTCATAAGACAGCCTAACCCTTTGTGGTTTGAGCTAGGTTTGATTTGGTGATATCTCTTTTAAAATGGTGGTAATTTGTATCCTACAATATCAGCCTTCAATGTAAAGACTTCTAATAAATTTTAAGATTTAGACATGGCCATGAAAAGGCAAAAAAAAAAAAAGAAAAAGAAAAATGGCACCTTGTATTTTGTTCCCTTTCCATGGAAGCTATTACTTCCTATTCTTAGATTGTGGATATTTATTATTATTAATCATCTTGCTAATAATAATGGCAATTACAGTGTGCCAGACACTGTTAGGTATTTTAATTAAATTTTTTCTATCCTGACAACAATTTAATGCAACATATAAGTAATCCTCATATTGTAGACGAGGAAACTGAGGCTCAAGGAAGTTAAAAAATAATTTTCCCAAGGTCAAAGAGCTATTAAATGGTAAGATGTGATTAAAAGATAAGTCTGCTCCTTATAAATGTTGATCTCTTTCTATTATATCACCTTCTGGGTCCTATACTAATAGTTATGATTTCTACAATTCCTTATAAGAGACTGGTACAGTGCTTAGGTGCATTGAATAGCATTATCTTTTAATTTTTGTAACATCTTTGTGAGGTAGATATAATCTCTGTTTTTTTCAGGTGAAGAAGTAGAGGTTTATTTACATTAAGGAACTTGTCCAAGACAGTACTAGAGGCCAGTTTCATACCAGCTCTGATACTACAGCCCATCCATTCTCCTCCCAATTAGTAATCTGCTTCATTTACTAATTAATTGCAAGATTAGGCTAGTTTTCAGTTCAGCTCCTTTCATCATATCACAGAGACATAGAGGGAAAGGTGAGCAGTCTGTCCCTCGGGTCCTATTGCATGCATAACTCTAGGGCATACACAGAGGTTTTTATCCTGGGTCTCAGAATCCCCTGAAATTATATCCAGAATGTGTGAAGGTGCGTTTTTCCGGGGAATTGAACAAGAGCTTTGTTAAAATCTCAAATGGGGTCTTTTGGAAGAAAAAGCACTAAATGTAAGTCAGCATGGAGTTTCATTACCAAGTTTGCCACTTTCTAAGTGTGACCCTAAACAAGTTTCCTAACCTCTCTGAACCTTTTCTTCATCTATAATTTGATGTCATAATGAGGAAGATTAAATGAGATAATAATTTGAAAATAGTTTGAAAAATGCCAGGTAGAATAGAACTGTATTTATTGTCTTCTGAAACTTTTTGTATAAGATGTCATGACACTAAATGTCTTTCTTCTTCCCTTTATTAAGGGACTGGGTTCATTATGTCCTTGACATAGCACCAAGTAAATATCACTCTTTGTTGACATTTAAAAATCAGAGTAGCAGAATTTGAGTTATGAGATGAGAGTAGAATTCCCAGCTTCAACATTGAAGATATAATTAACTCTGAGACATTAGGAAGCTGGAACTGAATCCTCAAATCAGAAACCTTCCGGTTAGTCTTTTGATGAATCTTGCCTCCTGATAAACCTCCTCCCCTTTCCCCTGTGAACTAAAATAGAAATGTACTCTCAGAAACTAGTTACAGCTCTCTCAACAGATCCTGCTGTATTCATGGAAGCTTACTGCCCATTCTACCTGCATGTCTTCATTTAAAGAATGAAGAACATGGTTTTTTTCCAATATGATAAACTGCAAAATTTAATGTGATGGAACCTATAAAATTAGTTGTTAATTATTGGCACGTTAGACTGACATTTTTAGTGTTTGCTTTTAAGGATTTAACCAGAGACAAAATTGTAAATCAGTATAAGTTTCATCTTTAGCTTTCTGTCTTCCTTCTTATTCTACCTTCTCTTCTCTGTGTTCCATCACCCCCTCTTCCCAACCCCGGTGTCAGAGCTCTCATTCTTTGCCCATGAAATCCTTTAAAAGTAGGCATTAGGGATATAACATTTAACTTTCAAAAGAGGCAAACACTCAAAAGGCAGTAATTAATTTAAAGATATGTGTTGTGGTAGATGTAAGGCATCACTGGAAAAGTTGAAAGGGCTGGTGGTACCAATGAAAAAGTACCAACAGGCTGCTGCCTCTTCAGCAGATGAGCAAAACCCTCTGCACATGTTTACCACGTAGAAAAGGTAAGTGAAACTTCAAATTGCCAGAGAAAGCAATAGAGGAAGGGAGAGATGATTATGCCTAGAATTCAGAACTCTTAAATTCAATAGCATTGTCTCATGCTGATGTGATTAAAATTGCTGATTCTACTAAAAAACTACTTTTTGCCTTTGATTGAGACCAGGAGCACAAAATGGACTCATGATTGATTGATAATTTTGTGGTTTTCTCCTTTTTATCAAGTAAAAATATTAACTACAGAAAGATGTGCTATAAAATATCCTTGGTAAAGACTTTCAAATATAAGTGGAACCTTTATTATTTTATAATTTCTAAATTCTCATCTCACAGTCTTACATGACTGTGCATGGTAAACTAGAACCTCACATATTTAAAACAAAGATGAAGGAAAAAAACCACCATAAAACTTCGTGCACTTTGGTTACCATCCGTTTTCTGTGGCTCGTTAATGATAGAGAGACAATTAGGGTCCACCTGGATTATCTATGCCTCTAGATGGCCTCATAACAAGATCTTGAATAGGAGAGAAGGGTTAGTCTGTGCAGAATTGAATTGATGAAGGAAGAGCGCCTTAAATTTGGGAAATCTCAATCATGTCTTTCACATATGATTTTCATAGATTATCTTTTTACTAGTTATGGATTAAATAAAAGAGAAGGATTTAATTTAATTATTTTTCAGGTGGGAAAAGTGCCCAAAGGACATGACCATATGAACTTTTCAATGAGGTTATAAATGTCTTAAGAGCATAATTTTAATAATAGCAACTTCTGATATTTCTCATTTGCTTCCTCTGTGCCAGCATTTCATATGCTTTATTCTCACTTAATACTCCCCCAAACCCTTTGAGGTAGATACTATTATTATAACCATTTTACAGATGTGAAAATTGAACCTAGACGAGTTAAGTAACTTGCCAAAGGTCTGTCTCCCAACTAATAAGTAATGAAGCCAAGGTTCTAAAGTATGCCTGTCTGATTTCAAGATAACAACTCCTTACCAGTAAGCTATTCTGCCTTCCTTTTATATCATTGCATTCCACACATTTCCCAACACAATGCCTTGCATGCAACAAGAACCAAAGAATATTTGTTGAAACAATAATGCATCATTTAAAAAATTTAGTCTCAACAGTTTTTTAGAAATTGAAACTGTTAAACTAAGCACTTTTAGTGAGTGTTCAGCAGATGACAATGTAACCATTACTTTCAGCATGTTATATTGGAGTTCTACACTTGGAAATAGTCCATTAATAAGGAAAGGTTAAATGTAGCAAATCTGATTATTCTGGAATCATTCAGTATTTTTAGTATTCTGGTAGATTTATGTCTTTAATTTAACGTAGATAAGTACTGAAAGATTACAGAATGATGGCCTTGTCTTAGCTTGCTTCAGTAAACTTTGTATTAATGTATGTATTTATATATTTATTTATTTGCGATAGGGTCTCACTGTGTTGCCCAGGCTGGAGTGCAGTGGTAACTCACTCCAGCTTCATTTCCCCGGCTCAAGTGATCCTTCCTCCTCAGCCTCCTGAGTTTCTAGAACTACAAGTGTGTACCACCACACTTGACCAATTAAAATTTTTTTTGAAGAGACAAGCTCTAGCTGTGTTGCCCAGGCTGGTCTTGAACTCCTGGTCTCAAGTAATCCTCCTGCCTTGGCCTCCCAAAGTGCTTGAATTATAGGCACCAGCCACTACACCTGGCCTTTAGTGAACTTTAAATTTTCATCACAAAATATTAGGCATAAAAAGCTAGTAGAAGAGCAAGGTATTTATAAAGATGCACGGGTGAAAATCAGCACATTAGATCTGAGAGAACTATTTTTTTTGTAAGTTTAAGTTATTTCCATTTTTAAACAAAAACTATGGTTTCTGTTAGCTATACAGTGTAAAATCATTTTTGGACTATGCATCATGATTATAATTACTTGTATTTTGGGCTTACTGTTTAATATGTGGTATAATGGAAAGAGCTGGACTTCAGAATAAGTTGGACCCAGGTTTGAATATTTTCTAGTCTCTTTACTTCATGACTTGAGCAAATAACTCCCAGTTTCATCATCCAAACTGAGCTGATGATGTTTGTTATACATGCCTAAGTGAGATTATTTACGTGAAGTATTTGGTATAGTAGGCACTCAGTTAAAAAACTGAAGCCTTATTCATGTTTTAACACTTTTCAGGCAAAATAAAACATGATTCAACTCTTAGATCTCAAGCATGGTATTTAAAAATGGAGATGTGTGAAACACACCTAAGGCCCTTATCAAGTTGGGGCAAACAGACTATAAACATCTCCTTTCACTGTGTGAAATCTGGGAGTTGGTCAGCCTGGGTTCAAAACTATGCTCATCTCCTACTAACTGTGTAATCTTTGGATGAGAGTCTTCAACTTCCTGGGTCTTGGTCTTCTTATCTATAAAGTGGGAATAATGCCAGGATTTACCCAATGGTAACTGTGAGGATAAATAAAATAATGCCTGGCTAATATTTAGCTCAGTAAGTCTTCACTATTATCATTAGTAGTAGTAGCATGTGCATAACTGTAAGTACATCGATGTAGAAATTAATGGTTTTAGAAAATCTTACTGTTGTGTTCTGCAATTACTTTTTATGAAATAAGTTAGAGGAAATAAGTGATATGTGCATTGCAGTTATTTAAAAGAACTCCCAAAATGCAAATGTCATGACCAACTAGAACATGCGGGCATTAGGTTAGTTTGTGTCCACATGGAACTTGGAGCTTCTCTAAGTGTTGCATGGCACAGGGGGCCCCATAGAGTGTTAACAACTGAACCAGGAATTCTCTCATGACACCCCAAATTTACCAAATGAAAGAACCTATAGGTGTTTGTTGCTAGTATTGCACAGCGTTCTCAGAAAGATAAAGAAAATGTTTTCCAAAGATAAACCAGAGGGTGGTAAAAAGTAGTCCTCCTTAAGATGACTAACAACTCTTATGCCAAAGAAGTTTTGAAAGTATCTGACTCAGGATATCACTTTGTCAGAAGAAGAAAGTGTAATTTTTCTGCACCTAGACTGGGTTGCTAATTTGCTGACACTGGGATTAAAGTTTGAAAAACAGTAATTGCTGGTACTAAATGTTACTTCAGAAAGTAACCTTCCAAATAATTATCCTCCAAATAATCTAAAATCTTTTCTCCCCTGCCCCACCTGCAGTAATATAGAATTATTTTCCTACTGCTGAATTTCCTCATCTCACTCAGCCTTTTTCCTATCAAACACAGAAGGCATCTGTGGCAAACAGTTCGTGAGTCATTTAATGTCTGCTGGGGAGAAATACAGAAGAAATGAGTCTGTTTTTTTCTAGGCCAAAGCTTACCTGAAGATTGCTGTGGAAGTGGTGAGAAGATTGCCACCACCTTCAGAATGATTCTCAAGTGCCCTGGAAATTTGTCTGGTACTGACAGTAAGAGGACCTGTGGAAATCAACAATGTGGCAGTGAAGCCTACTGAAATAATAGCAATCATAAGTGTTTTATTTCTAAGAAAATAATGTCTTGTTTTCAGATTTGATTTGCTAAGCTGTGACTCACAAATAACATTTTTACGTTATTAGTGCTACTGCTACTCAGGATTTTTTTTTTTTTTGAAAACCTGTGTGTGCCAGCTGCATAGAACTGCATTTTCTTTTATTGAGTTACCGCTTAAGAAATCATGAGTTTATGATGTTACAAGCCCATTTTGGTAGGGAACTGTACATTTTTTGCAGGACCACAGAGTTAGTCATTTAAAGGATTTACTAAATTTGTGTATGGACATAAGTGTGACCCCTCCCCACCAGGCAATTGGGTCTGGCTTTGAATCCTGTCTTTAGTATTCCCTTGGACATGTTCTTAATACAGATGAACCTCTGCATCTTCATCTGGATCAGACTATACCCCAGACTTAATAAATTTGAATCTCCAAGGGCGGAGCCTGGACATTTTTGTTTGTTTGTTTTTGTTTTTTTGAGTTGGAGTCTCACTCCATCGCCCAGGCTGGAGTGCAGAGTGCAGTTGCCCAGGCCGGTCTCGAACCCACAAGCTCAGGCAATTCATTTGCCTCGGCCTCCCAAAGTGCTGGGATTACAGGCTGAACCACCAAGCCCGGCCATGTTTATTTGTAATAAGATTATGTTGATGTTGGTGAGGATTCTGATGATGATGACAGTGATAATAACAATAATGACTAGCATTTATCATGTCCTTTATGTATCTTTATAGTTAATCTTCCATTTGTATAAGTGGGGTACTACTGTTGTCTCCATTTCATAGATGAGGAAACTGAGGTATAAAAGATTGTGTGTCTTGCAGAGGGTTACTATATTTAGTAAGTGATGGAGCTAGTATTTGAACTTGTGCACTGGGGTACTGGATTTCTTCTTTTGTACACCAATGTGCATGTATTTGTTAATTTCAGACGTAAAGGGATATAGTATTCAGCATTTATTCAAACTTATTAGTCATGAAATCTATCCCCCTTTTTAGGAGCATTTTATGGAGCTCATGTTTCAAAGAATACACTTTGAAAACATGTATATTGTCTAATTAAAGCTCAGAGAGAGAGTCAAGGATTTCACAAGGTCAGACAGCAGAGAGTTTGAAAGCTGCAAATACTGATAAGAGTGAGTTATTAGTGAATCATCATTTGTAAGAAAATGGTCTTTCATCTTTAGCAAATGACATGACATCCTTTGTTCTCTAGTTATCAGCCAGAAAATTGGGTTAGGAGTTGGCACTATAAACATGTTTTCACATAAAAACCTGTACATGGATGTTTATAGCAGCTTTATGTATAATAACCGAAAACAACTCAGATTTTCTTCAGTGGGTGAATGAATAAACAGTGATACATCCATACCATGAAATACTACTCAGCAATAAAAAAGAGCAAACTATGCAACAACCTAGATGAATTCCATAGAATTATGCTGAGTGAAAAACCAATCTCAAAAGGCTATGTATCATATGACTCCATTTATATAGCATTCTTGAAATGACAAAATTATAGAAATAGAGAACAGATTAGCGGTAGCCATGTTCAGGAGAGGATGAGGACAGAAGAGAATTATGTGTGGCTGTGGGCAGCATAAGAGCTCCTTGTGATGATGCAAATGTTTTGCATCATGGCTGTATCAATGTCAGTATCTTGGTTGTGATATTGTACACAATATTGTGTAGTTTTGCAAGATGTTATCATTGTGGGAAATTGGGTAAAGGACACAGAGAATCTCTGTATTATTTCTTATCATTGCATGTAAAACTACAGTTATCTCAAAATAAAAATAAAAGCTTAAAAGTGCTGCTATATCTGGACTGAAATTTACTAGACCAAATCATCTATATTAATTAATATCATGAATAAAATTATTTGTGGACACAGTAATCATCACTCTGAGAAGAAAGTAATGATATAAAATTTCAAGTATTTACTTGTGGTTTTATTGTCTCTTAAGAAGGAGGAAAATATAGATGCTGATTGAGCACTTCTGAATGCCAAAAATCAAGTGTTTAAATCTAACTTTACCCAGAAAAAGAATGATTTAAATAAACTCCAGAGGTGCTTACAGTTGTATGCCATGTTTCTATACATCTCATGAGAAAATGGGAAAGATAATCTTTATTCATAAATACACTACTAAGAGAAGATCTACGTATATCATTCCCTGCCCCCTTCTCCTCTTTCATTTGACTCTTGTCTACAAATGCTCCCCAAAAAAGTATGAGAAAAATTAGTGGTTGCAATATCTATCCAGGTTCAGAAGTGAAGGAAGGAAAAGAAGCTGTAAAAGCAAGAAATTTTTCTAAAATTTTGCCTATGGCAGCCTTTGTTAAGTTTCAAAGAGTCAACTTCAAAGTTAGACTCCCAAGCACAGGTTACATGCCTGTTTAAGGGGTAATATTTATTCCTCATTCTTTGTATCTCCATAGAATGTGGAGAATTTCTATTCTACTATCCAAGTGGGAAAGGTAAGTTCCATCACTCATTCTATTCCAGGAAAGGATACCCCAATCTCAAGTTTTCTAAGACAGGCTGCCCAGAAACCTGAAGTTGTCTGTCTCTGCCTTGGACTTGGGTAGACAAACCTATTTAATTTAAGGTTAGTGTATTTAGTAGCCCATGGTAGTCACATATCTTCTAATCCAGCTTTTGTCATAATAAAGTTGACATTTTGACCTCTATCTGAATTATCTCTCAGTTCCAAACCAGAGAAAGAAACCCCTCATCCCTACCCTCACCTCATTTCAAAGAAATACAAAATACCTTTATAGAGTCCTAGAAAATTAAAACGGAAGAGTATGGTAGGGTTCACATAGTCCCATTACCCCAGTTAGAGCATGTCTAATAAAAAATAAGTTTTTATTATGGACAAAAGGTTTTTTTGGATGGTGGGCTGTTGTGAAATATAATGCATATACGATAAAGCACAGAAGACATACATTTCAGCTTAATTATTTACAAAGTGTGTACCTATGTAACTACCAATCAGATTAAGAAGTAGAACACTGCCAGATTCTCAGATACCCCAGTGTTTTCCTTCTTAATCACTACCTGCTCCTTTCCTTGCAAAGTTAATTGGATGTTTTAACACCTCAACCTATGCCCTTAAATATTACAGCTTACCTATTTTTGAAATTCATATTAAATGGAATCATGCAATATGTATTTTTTGCTCTATATTAGCTGCTTTTATCTTGCTCTATATTGACTACTTTTGCTCTGTGTTGTTTCTGAGATTTGTCTTTATTGCTTATAGCTGTGGTATTTCATGTTCTTTACTGTGAAATATTACAATTTGGATACAGTAGACAGATGCTTTGATAGAAACTACCAAAGCTCACTCAATAAATACATAACCTGAGTAGTTGTAAATGACTTTTCAAAATTACAAAATGTAATTTGTAATTAAGAACCAACAAAGAAACTCTAGCTCCAGATGCCTTCACTGGCAAAATCTACCCAACATTGGAGGAATAAATAATGCCAATTCTATGCAAACTTTTCCAGAAAATAGAAGAGGAGGGAACACTTCCCAATTCATTGTGTGAATCCAACATTACCCTAATACCCAAATCAGCAAATAAATACAAGAAATGAAGACTACAGAGAAATATTTCTCATTACATAGACACAGAAATCCCCAGCAAAATCTTATTCAATTGAATTTAGCACTGTATAAAAAAGGATAATACACTATGACCAAGACATCATTTTCCTGGGAATGCAAGGTTGGTTCAACAATTGATAATCAATCAGCATTTTCTCTATCAGAATCAGGCAGAGACCTGTGTTGCCCTGCCCAGCTCTGTTCAGCCTTGAACCTGAGGCACCCTTTGTAATCAACCATTAGACTCAGAGAGACAGATGTCCCCCCGCCACTGGCACAGGCACAGACATGTCTGATCTGAGTGGGAGACTTCACAGCAGTGGCAGCAGTAGATCAGTTGAGTGAGTCCAGATCTGATTCATCCTCCTCCCACAGCAGTCTGTGGGGCATCTGACCCATGCTGAGAGCAACCCAATCAGCCTGCGCTGACAGCAGAGGGAACAGGCTGGAGGCCAGAGCTGCTCCCTAATGTGGTAGCAGCCAAAAGCAGCAGCAGCCCAAAGTGGCAACAGCCAAAAGCAGCAGCAGTTCTTAGGAAAGAAACCTGAAGTTCCAAAACCAGCCACAGAGTGAGCTCTTTTTTTCTCTCTCTCTTTCTGTTTTTGTTTACATTTTTATACTTGCTTTGTTTTATGTTATCATTGTTTTCTAGATTTTCTGTTATGGGTATTTTTGAAGGTTAGTACATCAACAGGATTTTTTTGCTTGTATTATTGTATTTTTTGTTTTGGTTTTGTTTCTTCTGTCTTTGTTTTTTTGTTATTTGGTGCCTGTCTGTTTTCCCTCTTCTTCTCTCTCATTACCTTCCTTTCATCTCCCTCCTTCCTTTTTCCATTCTTTTCCTTTTTCTTATCTCATTTTACTTTCAGAGGGCAAACATACACCCCCCCCCCACTGCATGGACAGCTTGTAAGACAGTGGGAAGTGGGTTCCAGGGGGTCCACACACCTGCCAGTGGATACTGAGATCTGCAGATAGCTCCAAATCATAGCTTTCCCCTTAATCAAATCTCAAAACTGTAAAAAGTACAGCCCTCTACCCCATTTGGGCTTCAAAACTGAACAAATCCAGAGGATCTACATAAGGAAGAATAGAGGATTAAGCTAACAGAAATAAAAGCTATCTTTACCAACACTGAGCAACAGAATTAAATAAGGAAGCAGCAATGGAAGAATATAGGTCTCATACAGACCCTTGGGAAGACAGCAACAGAGAATACAGATTTTGGAACTCAAACAATGAAGAGTCCTCAAATGACTGATCTCAAACCACAAACCCAGATATCAAGATATTGATAGAATAAATAGAAATGAGGAGAGATAAGAGGAAAGAATGAAGGAGTTGATAACTGAGATGATGACAATAGAGAATATAGTGAACAAAATAAATAACAAACTGATAAGCCTGGGAAAGCAGAATTAACCAAGCAGAAGAAAGAGTCTCAGAACTTGAGGACCAAAATATGGTACTAACCCAAACTGTCAAAAACATACAAAAGAAGCTTAAAAAGATGGAACAAAGCCTCCAAGAGATGAGTGATTATATCAAGAGGCTGAACCTAAGATTAATTGGAATCCCTGAGGTAGATAGAGACCATCCTGGAACAAACATTCCATGAAATTAGTCAAGAAATCCTCTCTCATCTTATCAGAGATATGACCATTCAAACACAAGAGATTCAGAGAACCCCTATAAAACATCAAATGAGAAGACTGTCTCCTAGATACACAGTAATTTGCTTCCACAAAGTAGGTATAAAAGAAGAATCCTAAAGGCAGCAAGAGAGAGGTCAGACTACCTACTGGGGAAGACCAATTAGAATAGCAGCAGACTTAT